GTGCTGTGCGGTATGTGGATTAGGTCAAGATACTCCACTTCTCTGGTCTGGTTGATAACATCGTTCCAACAGTAATATTTTAGAGCCGGGGTGATCGCGATCATAGAAATAACAAAAATGGTAATTTGTACTAAGATGATATATTTTGCATTAGAGATGCCTCTCAACACTCCATCATATCGTCCGGGAACATAAATAACTGATCACGTTGCGATGGACCTATTCAGCCAGCTATTGAGTTGGGAGCATTGAGCAAAAGGCATCTTTGAGATCTAGAGTCTACACTCTACGCGTCGAGATCGGTACTAAAATATGTATATAGAACTGGAACGAAACTATTCTGTAAATAGAATAATATCATATCACCTTGGAAGGTATTCTTAGTATATTTGTTCTATTATCATTATTAAGTGATCATCCCAGCTTACATTCAGCATATGATCTATTGGCTGTTGATCGACTGTCGCAACATACCCTTTTACTTGCACACCACGGCAGCGGGAAAAATCACAACAACAATGATAATGAAGACCAAAATTGAATGTACAACAACTGTGATAGGCCGACAGCCATCCAACTACAACCTAGCTGACCGGCGTGTGTCTTCCTACAGTGCCAATACAGGTGGGCAACTCAGGCCATTGCGCAAGCCCTCTGGATGTGCTCCTTAGACCCCTTGTAAATTCACTTTCACATACATGTAATCATCAGAGAAACATGCATGAGTAAAGAATTGTATAGTATTTACATTATCACCGGAATATACCAAAATCTAACCCTGGCCTCGCTTATGTATTTTGAGTAAGTGGGAGATGGCCCTCCCATGTAACCCCGAAAACGTCGTTACATTTGCTCGCTATGCCAATTTCCAGGTATCCAGTAGTCTTATCAGTCCCCAAGAGGAAAAGGTGCATGTAACCGACGGTATGCTTGCTACTGCTGATTACAGGTCTTTTGTTTTTTTGTTTTTTCTTATTTTTTTTGGACGAAATAGGGGGAGCGTTCGAATTGGGCCTTACAAACGAGAAACACTACCTGTCCCCATGCTGCCCAAACTCACTGCTTATCTCCTGGGTGGATATTGTGGCCCAAACACTATACCATGTTAAGCTTTTATCAGAATGTGTCTACAATATATTCCCAATCATGGAATAATTATAACAAAAGCGCTTTGTTTCGGAGGCTATTCGAGATAATGCGACTGAATAGAGGCTGTGCAGTAGTTTTGCTATCAATGATGAGATATCTCATAGGCAATAAAAGATTCTAGTCTCAGAATGAGGTGCTGTAGATAAAGATTTATTCTGTAGACATTCTGGGTGCCTGAGACACTAAGTGCCAAGAGCTTCACCTGGTTTTTGTATGCATCCTTCTTCATATGAACACGCAGCAACCTTCTGAAACCGAGAGAATGATGAAGGTTCGAGATCAGCTCGCTAGGCAGTAGTTAATTAATGTCAATGTTTCGCGTTTGAATTCCTTCAAGGCTTCTAGTTATCACGGAAAAGAGAATTGTACCCTCTTGCTCCAACCTGATTTTCAATTTTCAGCTATTTTTTTCTACTACTGCTACTTCCCACCCAAGGATCTACTAAATAGAATCTATAATGCACTAGCTATCAACTATCTTGTGGTACCAAACTGCCAGGCACCGTGGCAAATGAGTGACTAGTTTGAAAAATCCCCTACCATCGTCTCTCCTGTCTACCTCATCTCTTCAATTCCAGTAAAGTCCATGACACCAGTTAGTCAGTTCCTGAATCGCAGTTCCATAAACCCAGAGTTATTGTTATCACCCTGACCCATATATCGGAGCAGGGGAAGTAATGGTTAAGGAAGCATGTGAGATTCTCTCTCGACGCTGTCCGTCGATGATTTCCTCATCTTCCGACGAAAGAAGACGCGCTTAGCCCACTTCCAGACCTCAACGCCTAAGAAAAAGAGCACAGCCTCCACAAAGACAATACCCCATTCCCACGAGATGACCGTATGTTTGAACACGACATGGTTGATCACGGGGATATAAATGATGGGGAAGATCGTGATCCACCCGGCCATGATGGACCAGAAGAGGAACTGATTCCGCCACACGTCGTGCATCCACTGCGTGAAATACTTCTTGGATTTGGGCTGCATGCGGAAGAAGGATCTTCGCATGTTGACCATCTCCCAGGCCAAGAAGAGGGCGAACCATGTAAGACAAACAAAGGTTGTGGCTCGGGCGCGGAACACCAGCTCGCATTCTTCGGAGTATTCGCTATTGCAGCCGCGGCCGAGATTGCCGTCGCCGAATCCCCACATGCGGATGGAAAAGGCTGAAAGGCAGAGCGCGGCGGTCCAGAAGCCGTAGACTAAGGTATCGATGATAACTTCCCAGGTGAAAATACCTTGCTTGGTTTGGGGTGGACGGTCCATGATGTCAGACGCGGCTACCTCCATTCCAAGTCCCATGTCGGGCATGCCGGAGGTGATCATGATAATCCAGAGAATTTCAACGGGGGCGAGAGGGAACACGGACCGACCGTCTTTATCTTTGAAGGCTAAGCCGATCAATAATGTGCATGCCTGAGCGATATTCTCGGCCAACAGGTGGAGAACAAATTTCTGGATGTTGTCGAAAATCCGACGACCTTCCTCCACGGCATTCAGAATCGATGCAAAGTTGTCATCGCTAAGAATGATGTCCGAGGCATCCTTCGCTACATCTGATCCTGCCTGGCCCATAGCGATTCCGACATCCGCATGTTTGAGGGAAGGCGAATCATTGACCCCGTCACCAGTCATAGCGGCGAAACGTCCACGTCGATGTAAGGCATCGATCATTCGAACCTTTGTCTGAGGTGCGCAGCGTGCGATGACCAGAGGTAAGGTAGGAAGTGCATCCACTTCGGCATCGGTAAGCTTATCGAATTCGCCTGCGGTCATGACCATAGCATCGGCAACATCAGCAGCGACCGTGGTGAGATCAGAGGGAACGATTCCGACTTGTTGCGCAATGGCTTTGGCGGTCCCAGGATGATCTCCAGTGACCATGTGCACCTCAATCCCGGCTTTGAAACATGCTTGGATTGATGATGCGGTCTCTGGACGGGGTGGATCATACAAACCGATGAGTCCGAGGAAACAAAGGTCCTTTTCAATCTCATCGCGGTCCAGGTCGGAGCCTTCAAGAAGCCGAGCCTGTTCAACGTAAGGTCGGTTTGCCAAAGCCAACACCCGAAGACCCATTTGGGCCAGCTCCTCCATGTTTTGGAAGATTTGACTGCGGTATTCATCGGTCATTGGCACGGGAGTGGATGAGTCTTGGTCCCAGATCACCGTTGTACAGGAGTCCACAATGCGCTCAACTGCACCCTTCGTGAAAACCATTTGACGTTCTTCCTGGGCTGTGATTTTGGTGAAGATGACCGACATTTTCTTGATCGTCGAATCGAACGGAAATTCCGCCTTTTGATGCCAAACAGCGCCCTGACCCTTAGTCCAACGGTCTCGGTTCCAGTTGAATCTCGAAGCGAACACTTCAATCGCGATCTCAGTTGGCTCTCCACGTGCACTCCATTCTCCCTGCTCGGACTTATAGACATGAGAGAGATTGGCCATGGATGCCACATCCAAGAAGTCCTCGAGCTGGCGATTTCCGACGACAAGTCCTTCGACGTTCTCTGCGGGAGGACCTTCCTTTTCATCATCGAATTGCATTGGAGACAAGGGGGTGAAAGTCACCTCACCGATCGTGGGATTGAAAGGCTCATTAGAGTTTCCGACCGAGTAGGTGCCTCGAGAGGGGATCCATGCTTTCTTGACTACCATTTTACCCTGGGTCAGAGTGCCAGTTTTATCGGAACAGATATCGGTGACTGCACCCAACGCCTCGAGAGAATCCAATTTGCGGACGATCACGTTCCGTTCGACCATCCGTTTAGTTCCAACAGCCATGGTTATAGTTAAAACAACGACCAAGCAGGCCGGAATCATACTGAGACCAGTGCCGACAGCGTACAAGATTACCTCGTTGTTGCTGCTGAACAAATTCGCAGCCATAACAATGATCGCAAAGAGCACGGCAACTCCAAACAAGAGGATCGCCAGTTTGGAAAGCTTCCTCTGCAATGGAGTGCCTACATTGACACCAAGGAAGCGACCTACAGCGTCTGTCCCGGTCAAGGTCCAGGCCTGGACATACCATCTCTTCTTGGTCTCGCCGTTGGGGCCACGTTTGACCTGGCGCTTTTTGCTATTGCTAGCACGTAGGGCAGCAGCAATGGAGCCAATTTCGGTCGCCATACCTGTTCCAATGACCACGCCACGGGCGCGGCCCCTTGTCACTGTGCTGGAACTATAGGCGATATTCAGACGGTCTCCTGGCCCCGTATCCTCCTTGAATGTGGAGTCGCATTCTTTGGTGACAGGGAGGGATTCTCCAGTGAGAAGTGCTTCGTCTGTATCGAAATTGACTGCCTCAACCAATCTGTGAAATATTTCTGTCAGTATGGTTCTGTTTCGCAGAGACTGAAGTCAAGGCGCGGCTTGCTGGCCTGAGGCGAAGACTCACCTGATATCAGCCGGGACGGTGTCACCTGTTCTCAATTCAACCATATCGCCAGGGACGATGTCAGTCGAAGGAATTGAAAAGGTCTGACCATCACGAGATACAGTTCCAGTAGGCGAGCTCAGAGAATGCAAGGACTCCATGGTCTTTTCCGCAGCATATTCCTGAAAGAAACCGACAACTATATTCAAGACAATGACGGCGCAAATAACACCGCCCTCAATCCATGACTTGATTCCAAAACTGACTGCCATGGCCAGCAGGAGCACCTGCAATTACGAATTGGATCAGATTCTGGGAGTTCTCATAACACTGGGAGTTGAGAAAAGAACAAAAAAGTGGGCCGCTTAACTAGCATCATTGCGTTTGCGACCTGGCGCACGAGGATCTTGATCACAGATACGCCCTCGCCTTCCTCCAGTTTGTTTGGTCCATATTCTTGGAGGCGACGCGAAGCTTCCTCATTGCTCAGACCCTCATCAATCCTGGTCTCCAACTCCTTGATGACCACGTGGTAAGGGAGTGTATGGGCGGGATGGCTCAAGGGTGAGCCAGGGACCCCGGCGAAGACGCTGGGGCTGTCACGCTGTTTTCCGTCCGTCATATGCAATTTTCCTATCGCTGGGAAAAGCTCAATGGCACTTGTCTAGCAGAAAACAAAGATAAGTCTCACTGATGTTCACGACCAAGGACATCAAGCTCTTTAAGTGATCGAGACCATTTGCCCAGCATTAGCCAAGACGATGGACTCTGTTAGTGTGAAGTGCAATAACCAGTTCCCTGTCATCTCTACCAGTAAGAGTGATGAACAGCACAGCATCCACCAACACGTGGATTGGTCAACCCGATGATAGGTACTTAACTGGTTAACTAACAGTTGTCGCCAAGGATTTCCTCTTTATGCCAAGGCGATGTTGATGGATGGACGAATCCGGGGGCAGCGACAGGTCCACCAGCAGATAATACGAGGATTCCCATTACTACATCGTCCCGTCATCGAGATGGTGAAACTTGGGTGCATTCAGAGTTCTCCACTGTGCTACCTGAGATTCCCGGGGGTCGTGGCAAATGTAACACCTTACAACCGAACCTCGGAAAATCCGTCTGGCAGCACTGCAGGGATGTGCAATATGGACGGAGCTTCCGCTGCGAGAGTATTTGATACAGCAGATTTGATATCCTCCGTAGGAGCTCTCAGTCTCGTGTGGAGAGGGGTCTCTTCATGCTGTTGTGACATTCCTGACAGAAAACTGTCCGGCGACCAGCATGCCAACGTGAGGCAACTGGGATTGTCTTCCAGGTTGGGCATCTGGAGTGACGAGTAGCCACGAATTCCAGAGTACTTTGTACAATATAGGTTCAAATGTTGTACCTACGGTGTAAATGGTTGTGACACATCCAACAATCCTCAAACGTCAGTCCGGCCACATCTGAGGGGTTCGTACTGCTCGTGTGCCAGGCTGATCTCTCTTAGGCATATTCCTAATTTTGTCATGTCAGCGAATTCAAGCAAATGACTTTGTTCCAGGCGACACGATTCGACTAAGCTCCTGCACGATAAATCTCTGTAGAACAAGCCTAGCGTTTATGTTGTGTCAAGTCGTCTAGGATATTTTCTGCTGTGTTTTACTATCATGCGTTAGCTCAAAGATGAGCTTGTAAATGAGTAACACATTATGCAAGTCGACGATGGTAGGAGCCACCGACCGCAGTCGAAGTATTTTCGATAGATTGTCATATTTGAAGCTACTTTGAATGGTGCAATATCAGTACAGGTTGTGGCAAACTATAAGATTGATTTTTATTCTCATAAGAAATGCCCTGCACGATTCCATCATGAACAAGTCGACTTGGTGAATCTGGAATACCTAAAGAAACCGGTTTGGTAGGGAGGCGGTGAGGCCTCAGGCTTTTCCGCTCCAACTTCGACCCCCGCAACTTCAGTTTCCGCTGTCATCGACGTCAGCCATCCCAGCTTCCCCTGAACACCCTCAAAAATGAAGCTCCTCTACATCGGAGTATGTCTTTCCTGACCAGAGTATTCTCATCTACTGATACATCGTTTCTACCACCCAGATTATCAATAATGGCCAACAGCCCGCCGTGGAGCTGTGCGCCGAGCGCGAGTTGAGCAGCTACTCGCGTTTCACCCGGAGCAACATCAGCGAGTTCATGACCATGTTCAGCAAGACGGTAGCCGAACGAACGAAACAGGGCCAGAGACAGGATATCGAGGAACAGGGCAAGTTATCGTCTTTGTCTCCGGTCGCATCCCCGTACCGGCCCCTATCCACGATTCTAACCATCACGTCATTTACAGATTTCACATTCCACGTCTATGCCCGGACCCAAAATATCGCCGCTGTCATCATTAGCGACAAGGAGTATCCGTCTTTGGCGGCGCACCAGATCCTCTCGAAAGCCCTCGACGAGTTCCTCGCTCAACACCCCAACGCCGACTCCTCCAGGAACCCCGTGACCTTCGCGCCGCTGCGAACATACATCACGACGTACCAGGACCCGCAGCAGGTCGACAGCATCATGAAGATTCAGAAGGAGCTGGACGAGACGAAGATTGTCCTTCACAAGACCATCGAGAGTGTGCGTATACCACAGAGTTTTGTTAGCAAGGGGGCGACCGCTAACGATAATTGCTGTATAGGTTCTCGAGCGAGGCGAGAAAATCGACGATCTGGTCACCAAGAGTGAGGGGCTCAGCGCACAGAGTAAAATGTTCTACACTTCCGCGAAGAAGCAGAACTCCTGCTGTGTTATCTGCTAGTTTGTGTTATCTTCCACACACTTACTGGATTTTCTTCTTCTTTTTCCTTTCTGGACGGACGCCAGGCTTGTGTGGAATATTAATCGGGGGCGTTTCTGTTTATCTTTTCATGTCTTCTTCTCTTCTTTTTCTCTTTTACACAGCCATTTTTGCGTTCAATTTTGCAGTTCTCGCCGATCGCGTTCACATGAGAAAGTTGTTGGTGATTTGGTCCCACTATGATAGGCGGTCTTCCGTACGATGAGATACCTCAGGCATCCGCTCTCTTAGAGTTAATATATATTTCCGAATTTTCTGTGCTCGATCTTGGATTCATGATGTGGTCGTTTTCTGCTTGGGTTTGCGGTAGTGAACGGGGCTCATGGTGGACGCGTGACTAATTGATGATAGGAAGGTTTATAATTTTGACCGCAAGGCAATCGGTTCCGCGCATTTTGGTCCAGTCTAAGTGGATCTTGGCTTGAATTATGCTTCTTCTGGCGGTATGGCTAACGAGCAGTTATAGGAAATTGTGCATAAGCTAGTGTTGGGGATTAATGCCGTTCTGTCCGCGACGATGATCAGCAGAGACCCAAATCCAGCTTCTTTTCGCCGAGGAGATTCATTATTTTATCGATTGGAGCATTCCGCCGATCTCCGTCGCTCACCATCGCCTGGAGATTTCTGTTGATTGGACCCTGAGCTAGCTTTCATATAGACCACCCGGGTCTCCCCGCGAGTCACTCCATGTTCCCGGGCCGTCTCCATCGCTTCCTCATCGACTCCGTACTCCGCATGGTCCTTCCAAGAACAGAATGCGTGGGAGGAGCGAAACTGTGTTTGCTTGTTGGCCGTCAATCCTGGATAGTGATCGCCTTATTACTGTTGGCCACTGGGAATAGTCAGTTCAACTGCCGGCTGGTGGTGTGCCTACGGGTTTGCCTACGGAGTATGACATCAATCTCTTGACGCCTTGCATCCTCTGAGTTGCAACAATTATCAATCGATTGCAGTAATCCAGACTAGCGCTAACTCGTGGACCTGAAAGTTGCGAGTCCCCTTGCGGTCTTGCCGGTCTCACCGATCCGACTCTTGAGCACGTGACATTAGCCTCGCTGACTAAGCCCAGCACAAATTTTGTGAGACGTGTTCAATTATTGAGGCCTGAAAGAAAAGGCTGAAGCAATTCGCTTTGCTGAAAGCTGAAACAAATTAGAGGAACACCACGACATTTCTACGTCGAACACTCGTGTTTTACCTATTTATAGGCCGAAAATAGCGGCGGTGCAACGATGAGGCGAAGACACCCTCGGCCAACGCAGCGTATTCGCTGTCCACACTTGTCCAGTAAGGGACTGGTAGCCAGGTAGGGCAATAGAATAGGGTAATCCCCTTAGGGCATCCCCACCCGCCACCGCCATTTTCTCTTCTAGAATCCGATCAGCAATTCGAGTTCCTTGGGTCGATACGTTATCTGGTGGGAGATTCTGTCGGCCTCTCAGCCATTCATGCTGGCCCCGAATCCACCGATAGTACCCGGCTTCCCGGCCCGGTCGCCTGCTATTGGCCGGCACCGCCGAGTTCCCCATGTGCAGAATCACCCTGGTCGACGGATAACTAGTATACTAGGGAGTAAATAATGCTAGTAGTTGTCGGACTATGGGCATTGTGGGAATTGGGCGTCATTGATCTACTGCTCGTCTCGACCGTTACTCATATAGCCCCTCACTGAACTGTCCTTCCCTCCTTTATCTCTCTATCAGTTCCCATCTTTCACTCCTTTCTGCATATTCAAGCATTTCAGCGCAAGGTGAGTACCTTCTTGCCACTCCGGTCTAGGACTACGGTGAATTTTAACGAACTCCAGGGTTTCATTTGTTGTTCCATTCCCTGCTACCTCAAGAGTCATTCCCAGGGGTTTCCCCCTAACTTAGACGTTCTCTCTCCGCAACACCAGGGATGACTGTTATGGCCCAAGACCTAGACGTCAAGTCCGCCCTGCGCTTCAACATGCGCAGGAACCGACTTGCAGAATGTTTGACTGCGGATGCCTTGATTGCTGCGGGTTCGGCAACATTGGTGACTCCTTCGGTCATGATCCTGGATCGGTATGTCGCTCGGATCGGTATTCTATTGAGGCCATTGACTAACATCCACAGTCTCGTGGTCGAAAAATCATCCCATAACCAACCTCTCCTCCCCGCATTCCGTCGCCACCTATGGGCCTCTATCACACAGCCCGCGACTTTCCTTACCTCTCGACCTACGCTCCTAGTTTGGTCCCTGTACGCGGCAACTTTCGCAACAGCAAACGCGTCCGAGACCATTCTGGAGCGAGTATACCCTCATGTCGACCAAGCTATTGCCGGGGCTACAACTTTCCTTTCCACCTTTGTTGTCAATTCCTCCGTCGGCATTTGGAAAGACATCAAGTTCGCTCAATTGTTCGGCCACAAACACACCCCTCCTCCTAAACCTACGCCATCCGCCGCCCCTTCTACCTCAGCTCCCCCATCGCAGAGCAAGATCCTCCGTTCCGTCAGCCGTTCTATCCCCATATCCGCCTACTCCGCCTTTCTCCTTCGCGACGGCCTCACAATCTTCGGCTCCTTCGGCCTTCCCGCCATGGTCTCGGCTTCTATCCCGGATTCCATCGCGTCAGCCGAGTACCTTAAGATCCTCATTGCACAACTCGCCATTCCGGCTTCCATCCAGCTCGTCAGCACCCCTATCCACCTCCTCGGTCTAGACCTCTACAACCGCCCTACGGCACTCCCCGCAGCAGACCGTTTCTCCCGAGTCAGCCGGGACTGGATCGGCGCATCTCTCACGCGCATGTGTCGAATCATCCCGGCTTTTGGGCTAGGCGGATTCGTGAACACAGAGGGCCGAGCCATCCTTCACGACCAACTGCGACGGTGCGGGGAGGAATGAGCGAGGGAACGTGGCGGAATCGGTACATCAGTGGATCCCGCATGCCCAAGGAAATAGCGGGCTCCACTCTCTCTCCCTTCCAGACAGATAAATGGCTCTTTGGCTGGCTCTGGTACCTAGGGCTGGCTGCTTGGTTGCCCTACATGGCTACCCGATCGGGCTAGTTGTCACGCCCCCCACCACCTGCCCTGACCGGGCCGGTTGAGTGCCGGGCTGCAAGGCTCCGGCTGGACTGGACTTCTTCTACAACTCTCCACGACCCGACCGGGTAGATACGGCGGTTTGCTTCGGTTGCGATTGTACATATTTTTGATTATTGGGAAACTGCCCTTGGCGGTTCTCAAGATCCTCGATGACGTGGTCGACTACTCAACTCGACCCGACGAGATACATACACACACACTACACCCATAAATGAGATAAGATATCCCACGTTTATATTATGATCAATACATTTATCCAAATACAAACATTGAACAAATTAGGTTTCCCCGGAAAGGATTGCTCTGCCTAGACGGTTAAAATGTTCTTTTCCCGCAAGAGATATTAAAGTTCAAGATCTACCCCACGTCCAGTTGCCGTATTTGCCTGAGGCACACACCGCCGTTGAACCGGCCCGATGTGAAAAGAATTGCAACAATTGAACATGCTCAAGTCTCTCGCGCCTTTAGAATGCCTGCTCTTGTGATTTGAGGGTACAGATGAACAGGAACTTCAAGAATGTAATGAGGGATCCGTTGATATAACCCTGAAAGCCCAAAGAAGTGTACAGAGATCGAAACACCTACTATTAACTACCATTAAGTAGTTGTTCCACGCCAAATTTGGTCCATTTGCCGAGCGAATGCCGATTTATTGCCATTCAAACGAAAGGAAATTTTCGTTTTCGTGTTCATAGCGAGAGAGATGTCTGGGATTGCGATTTGTAGAGGGTTTTCGGGGATCCATTGTATCTTTGAATCGCGTCACGAAGCAATGCTATCTATCAAGAGAATATGGCCGTAGACATGTATTTTGGCCTGGCGAATTGCAAAGCCTGAACTTGTTGTTATATGAGAGAAAGGATCTTGAAATGCGATGCATGTAGGACGAACGCAAGACTGGCATCATGGGCGTGCGGAGAGGGGTACGTATCGACGAAAATCGCGCATCGGTAGCCACCAAAACCGAACTCGCAGGGACTTTTTGTCCTGAGAAACATCCAAGGGCTCGACCTCAATGCGTGCTTGCCCCCAAAGAGCATGAACAAGAGTAGCAAGTTCAAAATCCAATTACGTGTAGTCCCACCCCCAATGTTCGGGTAATAGTTTCACAGGATACGCAGCACAAGCGTCATGTCGCCTTTGGGTTTGGACGCTGCCGTCTGGCTTCTTTCATGTTCTCTCTGCGGAGTTGACTGCACGATTCACCTACATATTCTCAGATTCGACTTTCAGTTCCAGCGTATGAAAGACCCGTGTCCGAGGGCACCATTTGTCTCATAATCGCCGTGGGAGAGAAGAGGAAAGAACCTCTATATGACCGAGACACAAGTGGTATATAGACTTGACAAACACGCAAGAGCAGACAGAATAGACGCTGTCACACAGAGACAAGTACAAATAGGCCTCACAAGATATACTGATATACGAAGAAAAGAATCGATCAGTGGACCGCCAATCTTGAATCATTAACAGAATATTATCTCCCCATGTAGCAGCCTTTTTAGCAGCAGTAGCCTCCAATATTCCAAGGAAAAGTGAAATTGGCGTCCCTGGCCTCCTTATCCTGATTTTCCCAAATGTACCGGGAAGCAGCTGGTCTTCATCAGGTCTGTCAGCCATTCCTGGTCATTGTTAGTCAAAATGCGCACAACATTCGTTCTTTAGGTCCTTGGGTGATCTTATTTGGTAAAAGGCTGAGTGCTCTCTCGGGAAAATATTCGTATTTGTAGTCATCAAGGGTTTCTCAGTACATGCAAAGCCCGGGGCTATTGTACTTTGTGGCTCATCAGATAGCAGCATAATGGAGAATCGGCGACTTAAGACACAGTCAACCGGAGGCTGCCTGCCACCGCCATAATCGGGCATGTGTCTTCATTGTCGTCA